CAATTCCAGTCAATCACCATCTGTCACCACTTTCGGTTCTGCTGGAAAGCTGAAGGATGTCAACGTATGGATAAAGCAAATCCTCTGCTCACAGCGGATGGACTCTAAGTGACCTTTACACAAAAAGGCTCTCTAGAAAACACTGAGCTCCTACAGCATGGACTTTTTCCAAGCCATGGTATACTTGTGCTGCTGGTTTGCATTATGGGGGAGATAGCAGCCCAGAAGAAGCAGGGACTATGAATTCTTGTTTGCTGTTTGTATGCCTCCTTTACATATGCAGTATGCATAAAACAGTACAGTTGCCAGATGAAGTACTGAGAAGAGAGCTACTATTTGGTTTCCCTCAAACCAGTTACCTCAATTCAGATCCTAAAAAGACTAGGCTTAGTACGCGCCTTGTTACCAGCCTGAGCGGTGGTGCCAAGAATGCAAGCACAGCAACAAGTGAGCGTATCCTTCCCCTCCTGCCAGAGGCCAAAGTGGGGGAGAGGGGAAGAAAAGGAGATTAATACAATACATGTTTTCTCACCAGCCATATCTGTCATTTCACTAAAATAAGAAATAAAAATACAAAATTTAAAAGACTATAATGACATACAGGTAAAGAACCAAACATGGGTATGCTACTGTACGTGCATCTTGTGCATCAGGTGCTGAACCAACACTGTCATACAAACTGATTGCTTATGTGAACACTACAATAAACCTTGTCTGTTAATAAAAGCCTAAGGAATGAGTTTTTTAGCATTAAAATGCTGGCTTTTTATAATCTTCATGTTAGTTTCCCTTATGCTGCCTTTACGATAGAAACAAAAATCCATGAATGAAGCAAAAGACCAAGAGTCCAACAAACTGACTGGCAGAACTAATCAAGCCAATACTGAGTATTGCCCTGACACACCCCCTGAGAAGGCAGGCTGATAGGCAAGTACAGGCATCTGAGTGACAGAAGGTACAGCAAAACTAACAATGAGAAGTAAAGGAAATGAAATATAACACAAAGACAGATCCTATGAGCATGAGTGAAAAAAACAATACGGTACATTACTTCTTGTGAAATGGAAAACGCTGCAGCTTGTGAACTTCAGTGCAAAATTTAATTTGTGGAAGAACTGGAAGGTGAAGGAGGAGAGAGACTACTCCTAGATGGCCACAGAGGGCCCCGGCACCTCCCCTGGAAATTAGCTGGGGATGAACCCTGCAATCAGTCCTGCGCGGGTGGAAGCAGATGACCCGAGCGAGAGGAAGCGCTGGCCCCACCAGCGGGCTGTGAGACGCCTGGGGAAGCGCGTAAGATGCTGAGCCTTTTGTCAGAGAAAAGTAATGAAGTAGGAAGGAACTGAAGTGTCACAATTAATTCTCTTTTCCCTACCAAAAAGAGCAGCGATGTTTGAAATTTCCTCATAATTCTTAGGCCCTCTCCAAGTAAGACATGTAAGATCTAATGAAGTGCCTCTCACTTTTCTCCACAGAATCCCTTTGCCCTTGCCCTACAGTCAGGGTTATAATCTCAACACAGTAAAATCAAAATCACATATTGTCTGACCAGATAACTGCCAAAATGACAGGCACACAAATTTATGTCTGTCTTTAGCCTGGTCCCTGACTCAAGTCAATGGTCCGTGCTCCATCGTTTGATCTGACTAGCACTGTTTTGATCTAAATACGTTAGTGCACAGGCAATCTTTTTTTTTTGAAGAATCACATAGGTGTTCTTTTCCTAGGGAAAACATCTGTTTTCTATCATGAAATACAAATATTACACAAAATATCAAAACTTTGGGGAAAAGAACGTCAATATTTGCACAATTGGTTTCTAAAGTCTGTCCTTGATCTGGATGCATGAGTTGAGCCAGTACTTGTAAATTGTAACCAGTCAAAATAAAACATTAACAGTAACCTTAGCAGCACAAAAATGCACTGGAAGAATCAATCCCATATAGTGGTTAAATGACTATCAGAACTAATACATTCATCAGTACTTTCATATCACAGTCAATAAAATATTTGAATAATCTATATTCAACAGCGCATTTGTTAAAGTAGCATCTCTTATTTCCATGTAGAAGCAGGTTTCCCTTCCAATTTTACAAAATATGCATTGTGTAATGCTTATAAACTTTATTCACTGAAAACTGATTATCTCTTCAAAAAATATTCTCTTTAATAACAAAAATTACTTTCCAGACAAGACAATCCTACCAAGTCTTTCCCACAGGCACTCTTTTCTACACTTAACTGAACAAGTCTTTCTCTTATATCAATGAGCTTTCAGAAATGAATTAAAACTCCAGTGCCAAACAGCCACGCAGCGTGGTGTGCAAGTAAACACCCTGAAGCCCTACAACTGACAAGATGGAAACCTTTTGAAAAATACATATTTGCACTCCATAATAAAAATCTGCATTTCTTTTAATTGATATTGATGAGAGAGACAGAAGTCTTAATTTGAGAAGAAAGATTCCTTTTATTTTCTCTATTGCCAGGCTGTTGCATGTTAATACCAGTGCCTGCAGGAGACTCACGCATTGCTCATGGTGCAAAAGCTGCAAGGCTGCAGCCTTTCTGCTTCAGAACAAGCTGTCCAGTGTGCTTTTTGAAGCCCACCAATACAAAAGAATCAGATGTAATCCCTTCAACTAACAGCACGCTCACCAGACTGATTAATCCACCTCACTTGGTAAAATGCAATCTTGTTCCAAGTTAGAGAAAACCTTTGGGTTAGTTGTGCGCACATGTTTTGAGAACTACTGCAGTTTTCAGATTTCCAGAACCCCCCAGTTAGACAAACCAAATATGTACCAACAGGAGGTGCAAGGGTATCACTGAACATTAACTTTGGGTGGGAATCCTCTATGATGATGTCTTGCCCAGGTGAGAGAGATTCCTCCACAGCACAACATAGTTACCAGTGAATAATCTCTGGCTTTCCCCTAGGATGAAGCCCACCGAAATTTCACTGCATTCCTCCTGCCAGGTGACTGCAGCATCACACATAAAATAGCTCTATTTCTAAACTGGAACTCTGTGCACGCAGGGATTTTGCCAATACCTCCAAGACATAATTACTCATCTTACCCCTCTGTCAACTAAGCTTTTATTACATAAATAGGAATTAGTGTTCACACATCCAAACAATGTGAAACAGTGCTTCTCCAGCAACAGACACCCATATGACATTGCTAATATGCTAGACTTCTTGAAATAACTATGAATACAATTACCCTAAAGTGTGATCCTAAATGTATACAACTTTTCCTTCCCCATAGTTTTAGTAAAAATTAAGGAGAATCAAGTATTAAGCCTCACCAGTCAAAGCTGAGAGCATAAACAAAATTAATATTTGCAATTATAAGCAAGTGGTATTTTTTTATATAAAAAACATCTACTTGGCAATCTGTCCTACTCAGTAAATTAACTCCTATAATATTCCTCCAAGCTATGGACAGATCCAAGAGTTAACAATTTATGGTCACATTTAATAAGAAAAAGTCTTTCAAACTGATTTCCAACTGTTTATGTGTAATACCTAAAGGAGGACAGTTTAGATATCTGTCTTGAGTGGGGAGAACACACAAAGACAACTCCCGTTCCCGCCCGTGACTTTCACAGTGAAATTCATATAAAGTTATACACCTGAAAGTAAAATCAAATGACGGTCCAACTGAAAGGGAAACTATCAAGAAAGACGCCGTACAAGAAAGCAGCTCAGGAGTTCCAAGCACCAGCTAGCTCAGTATATACAACATACTGGGGAATCACAGCATGAATAGGAGCAAGTTCATCTGTCCAGCTTAAATGGAAATCACTGAAAATGATTTTCAAGCAAATGTATCTGACTCATTTTGGCTAATGAAAACATACCCCTCAGAATGAAGAACTTGGGTAAATTGCGTTTCTCCTAATTCTGCCAAAAACATTAAAGAAAATGGATTTGCCAAAGATAAAAGCAAAGTAGGCGTAATAGATCATCCATTAGCAATACAAGTATGGCTAATTCTTCCTGACAGTGAAATGACTCGGGATACAACTCATTCTATTTTGTTTTGTTTTTTGTTTTTCTTGGGGTTTTTTTTTGTTTGTTTGTTTTGATTTTTTTTTTTTTAATAAGTGTTTAGACGTGGTGTATCCCACATATTTTATTCCCAGACATCCTAGGTTTGAGAGTACCAGAGAGTTTTTATGAAGATCAGGCCTTAACAGTAGTGTACTAAAAAGAGAAAAATAAGGGCAACTTGAAGTATTTTAGCATACTCAAGAAACAATGCAACAAAATAGAGGCTTTATCATCTCTGCAAGTTACAGAGAGTAGTTTAAGATGGTGTGAACCAATACAATTAATTTGAAACAATAACTGGAAGGAACAAGTTGCCCATTTTACAGAGAATCACAAGTCCAGAACTGACAGTCCACTTTACTCTCTGTTATACCACCTAGTGAGCTACTGGACTGTTCCGGGGTTTGCTTTTTTTCATAAATGCATTTTTGGTGCAGAAGGTTGTATTGCGTTCTGTAGCAAACAACAACTTTGATTTATTCAGAAATGCATCAGCAAACAAAGCCATATGGAAGAAAGAGAGATATAATGGATTTTCTGTTTACTTTAGAAACTTGACATCTGCAGATAGCATCATCCAAGTTACGATCCAGTAACTTTTCGTATTTTGGTCATTTTCATTTATCAACCCAAACCCCTTTTAATCTGATGCCGCAAAAAAGCTCTGGGAGAGGGACAACTGAGAAGGAATAACGATTTAGAAACTTAATAGGAATACACTTGAATGCTCTTCCCTTCCACATCATAAATTTAAAGAACAAGGAAACTCACATCTGTTCTAACTTAGCCTTCGAGCTTAAAAAGCAGAGAAAAAGTATTGGGGTTGTTTATACCTTGTTCGTATTTTGGGAAAGGTTTTCGGAGCCGGACCCAGCCGCCGGTGGCACCGCTCACCCACGCCCCGCAAACTTCCCGCGGGGCCGGGCTCGGCGGTACTTACCCTGGCAGAGGAGGAGGAGGAGGAGGCGGCAGCCGGCCGGCCGCCCCGCGGAGGGCATCTTCCCCCGCGCCGGGACCCCTGCGGCCCCGCCTCGGCCGCCGGCGCGGCGGGCAGCCCCGGGCGGGTCCCCGCGGGCGCTCAGGCGGGCCGGCCCATGGCCCGGGGCGGCGGGACGCACCCGGCCGGCCGGGGACGGGACGCACCGCGCCGGGATGCTGCTTCGGGATGCCGGGATGCCTCTTCGCCGGCTCCTTCCGTCGGTCCCCCCCCGGGGCCCGCCCCGCGGTCACCGGCCGGGAAAAAGCGCCCTTGTCCTCTCAGCGGCTCCGGCGCCTCTCGGGCTCTGCAGGGAGAAGCCGAAGTCACGGGCGCAGCCCCGCTCCGCCGCGCCGCGCCTGCCGCCGAGCCCCCCGCGCTGCCCGGGCGGCGGCACCGCCCGCCTCGGACCAGCCCCCGGCTCCTCCTCCGCGCCCGGCCGCGGCCGCCGCTCCGCGCTCCCCGGGCCGCTCGGGGCCGCCCCGCACTCACCGCCCCGCCCGGCGGGCAGCCCCCGCTCCGCTCCGCCCTGCCCGGCCCTGCCCGGCCCTGCCCGCGGAGGGGGGCGCGGAGGGGGGCGCGGCGGCGGCTCCGCCCCGAGCATCCCCGCGGGCAAGGTGCGGGGAGCCGGGGCCGCCCCCCACGGGGTCCCGCTGCAGCGGCCCCCGCAGGGGGGTAGCGGGGCGCGGGGGGAGATGGAGGAGGAGGAGGCGGCTGGGGTGGGGTGGGGTGGGGTGTGGGGGGAAGGAAGACAGGCGAGCCGCGCAAACACACCAGGTGCGAGACAAAGCGGGGACAGGCGCTGCGGCACCAGGATGTATCCCCGTGGCCGCCTCCCCCCGCCCCAAACACATTAAACGTGTTGAATAATTAATCCTTGGGAGAGGAGGCAGTTTTTGCTTGATGATGGGAGAACGCTGTAAGAGATAAGCTCTACCTGGCAGGCAACCAAAGTAACCCGGAACGCAAGCATCCCGCTCAGCGGCGAAACGCCACTTTCAAACCGCAAGCGGGAAGAAAACAAAAACAGCAGCCACCACTAAAAAAATAATAATAAAAAAAAAAATAAATAAACCCGACCTACCCAAGCCAAACCAAAAATACGCTGTAACAACAGGTCGGGCTGGCCGAGGCGGGCAGCCGGGAAGAGCCGCCGCTCCCACGCGCGGCCCGGAGCACTCGCCGCGCCGCGGCCGGACCTGCCCCCGCCCGGCAGAAGCGCCGGCGCTCGCCCCTCGCCCCCCCGGGCCCCCCCGCAACCCCCCGGGACGGGGCGGCCACAGCCCCGCAACCACCCCCGCGCAGGCTCCGCGCTCCCCAGCGCCAAGCAGCGGCCCCCGCCCGCCCGGAGGGGCCACCGCGACCTGTGGGCTGAAGGAAAAACCTGCCCCCCCCTTCCCTTCACCTCTCCTCCCCGGCCATCTTCAACCTGCTGGGGAAATACTCTCTCCCCCCACCTCCCCCGGCTGCTGTTGCCCCGGCACAACCGCGCTGCTGCAGGGATCCAGCCCCGATCTTCCCCGGCCTTCACACTTCGAACCGCCCACGCGGGAGCAAGGAGGCGCACCCAGGAGAACGATACTCGGTGCCGTGTCACCGAGCAAGAGCTGCTGCAGATTGCTTACATACACATCAAATAGGAAATTCTCTCTCTGGCCTGGGAAGGACTCTGCTTAAAATACCCAGCGCTGTAGAGGGAAAATACAAAAAATCACTCTATAGAACTGAGAAAGAACAAGCCTATTTTAACTTTTCTGTTAGGTCTCCATCAAGCATTCCCATGGTCTTCATCAGCCTTGGGAAAACAAGAGGCCAAGTGCAAGCACCTGAAGGAGTAATAATGACTTTGAGATGAACACTAGCGACCACCATAAATTAATTGCATTTCAAACTGCCTGACAGCATAAATTAAACTTTTGAATACTTACTCACTTGCCCAAGTGTTTGTGGGGCTTTCACAAAGGCCTGAAAGGGAGAATGGAGAAGCATACTTGGGATGTCTCCATCAACCAAGGGAAAGGCTATAGAAAAGAAAGCAACATATAGAACATTAACATTAAATCAATGCTTTGTGGAGAAATGTCTTACGTTAAGCTGAGCTTTATCCTAAATCATATTTAAAAGCTCACACAGTATACAAATCAATATTGATGCCATCTAAAATACACCACTATCATCTGCACTGATAAATGCCAGTTTCCATCCAGGACAAAGTGACTTCTTGGAAGAATTTCAAGGACTTCCAATCTCTTCTGGCATCTCAGCAACTGAAGCTAAAGCTGTACTCTTCTGCCAACTTCAGGCTCTGCTCCAGCGCATTAAAACTGGTTTTAGATGCCACTGTGTTCATCATACAAGGAACAGAAGTAAGGTCACCACAATATTTTTTTTCATTTGATTTCCAGGCTTTTAAGTTAAGCAGATTTATACATTTTCAGAGGATCATAGCTTAAGCACAGCACACATGTGAAAAAGTTGCCAACTTGGATGAGAATGGGACTAAATATTAGTGTCTTCGGCATTCCAGCTACTGTGGTCATCACTCTAATGTTAATGTACTCACTGTGCTTCCTGGAGCTCTTCTCCTTTATGGTCTCCAGTACACTGCAAGCCTTCAACAAGGAAAAGTGATGGTATATTGAGGAAATGTTCATCCAGGAAACATAGCCTACCATAAGGAAGACAAAAATAACTGCAGCATCTCATGAAGCCTTGCAAAAGCTTATCAAAAGGGAGGCATTTTGAATTTTTCACTCAGAATTCAAACTTCAGGGGAAAAAAACCTGAAACCCTTCCTGCCCAGCTAGTTTCCACACCCCTAAAGAGGCCCAACACAGACTGTGAAGCATCTGCCCTTGGGTTTACTAGAATACAAGCCTAAAACAACCATCTCTTTCCAACAGCTAACTTCTGCTCCAATATGCATAAAATACGCTCTCATGTCATTCACTTGGTTTCTTTGTCTGAAGGCCTTTTGAAAACTGAATTAAAATCAGTGCTAGTAAATGGGGGATAAAAAGCAAGGTGTCCTTAACACTCCAAACAAGCTCAAGCTTTACAGTGACATATAACATCACTCTCCTAGCAAAAATACTTTGGAAATAAACTGACACTTTCCTGCAGGCTGGTGCAATTTTGAAACTGTGGCTCATACTCTTTTTGTTGTGTTTTTTTTTTTTTTTCTGCTTTGAGTCATTCATTTGGCACAGCAGACTGAGCTATTAAATTATTGTATTTTTTTCTTTTATAAAGGCACCCTGAGATGTCTTGATATGATAATGCTTCCTGAAACTGATGCTAATTGATAACTGGTTCTTGGTTTCATCAGAAGTCTTAGGTCATGCTCATTTAGCATTAGGACAGAACACTTGAGGACTGTTCCACCTCTCTGTGTTTTCCAAACATTCACATATGAACACCAAAATATTTTCATAGACAAAACTCCTTCTAGAACATTGTGTTTGAAATCCAATTCTTGATCAGTTCAGTGATTAAATGCTTTTTTCCCCCATGCTATGAATAGTTGTGGAGTCTCAGAGTCTGAAGAGCTACTGTTGATCATGTTAGGAAAAAAATATTTTAAAATTATAAAAATGACTTATTAACACTTAACACTACTTTGTGATCAAAACATCAAGTCTTTCATGCAGTTACAAGTAGGATGGCACTGAACAGATATTCTTCCCGAGGTAAACCTAATGGTAAAAGGACAGATCAAATTTTGATCCTGACAATGACAATTTACCTGCATAGCATACTTAATTCAAGTGGTATACATGTTTTTCCACAATCCCTGGGCTTTATTTTCTTATCCTTCTGTCTACTCCTTTCTTCCTCACTTGTTACATACAGCTTTATCCACACCATCTATGTAATTTTTGTCCATTTGAGATCACCGAAAGAGCTAAGAGCAGCATGTTTTCCCAGAGTACTCATCCAAAAGTGCTATGGAATGGTCAGAAGCACCCGTTACCACGAGAAAGCCGCAAACCTATGCTAAGGGATGTCTCCATCACAGCAGCTGGAGAAGGGAACAAAGAAGATCTTTCTTTCAAGTCAGGAGGAAATAAATCATTCTTGTGGAGGAAGATTGCCACCAGCTGTCCTGATCACAAGAAGTTTAAGCAAGGGCTCAGTGTTTTCCAATAAATAGATTTAATGGCAAAACCAGGATTCTTGTGAAAACAGTGAGAAGGGACTGGCATAAGTGAAGATGCTGTGTGAGGGAAAACAGAGCAGATAATCATGAGCCTGGGCTAGAGCAGGAAGAACCAAAATCCTTTGGCAACCTGACAAAGCTATCCCTCCCATGAGCTGGGTGCCACAGGGACTGCCCTTATCAGTCCCCACTGCTGCTTCTTGGCAGTAAGCTTGTAAGGTCCTCCAACCAAGGGTGGTTTGTGCCACTGTAAATACAATATAGAGCTTTTGAAAATACATTAATCCACAACAATGCCTGATTTCTGGTCATCGTGTTGTTTCACCAAAAGCATAAACTGAACTATCAAAACTATCATGAACCATAGCCATCTGATTTCTTGGGCAAAACAGACCTCAGTGTCTGATGCCATCAGAAGTCAGCAACAAAATAGTTCTCAAACCACTGGTTTATCTGAAATTTTCACCTGCTTGACTTTACTGCTGCAGGTTTATGTGAAGCACAGGGTGACTATGTTAGAACGTTTCCATGCAAAGAAGAAACAGGTTCTCCCAATACCTGCAAACAACGGATGTTTTCTTGTTTCACTTCCACTAAGAATATCATGTCTTGCACCTGTGTGGTTAATTTAGCCCCGAACACTGACAGAAAGATATAGCTCAGTTTTCGTATCATTGTCCCACAGTCCTGGGAGTGCCATGAATGATACCTGTTATATCAATTAAAAAGCACAGGGAGTATGTTTTCACTGTGACGCACACTGACACTCAGCTGTCAGGTGTGCTTTCAACAGCGCAAGTTTCAAAACTCAGAGACAAACCCGGATCTGCATTTTGTGCACTGTTGTGGATCAGCAGGATTACAGGGGTGTGATTAAAACAGGATGCAAACCTCTCGCTGCGCTGACGCGCACCGCCGCGCGCAGGGGAGCCGGCAATGCCGCAAGGCTGATGCGCACGTTGCAGGGCACCCAGCAGAGCTGTGCCGGCAGCTGGCATCCCGTCGCCGCAGGAACGTCCCCTGGCTAGTACCAGGGACAACAGCAGGGCTGATGACTCATGATTATCTCATTTGCACAGGCAACTATTTTTGCTTGGAACCATACTATAACAGAATCCCAACAGTTGTAACCCACAGGCACCTTGGCATTGAGGCTCAACATTTATTCCGTTACTCAAGAGGCATTCACAGACATGAGTATGATCAATCTTCTCCACATCAGTATGAGCAGCAAAGTTCTTCCGAACTTTGAAGACCGGATTTTTCTAGCTTTTA